TGCAACTTTACAGATCTTCTTTACGCACCAAGAGCTTGTAACACTCCAAAGAGAAATGAAAACTTGAAATTGCATCATATGACCCCTTTAACAAAAAAAGAATGCAAATCTAGAAATGATACTGCCTTTCTGCAGTATGACTCAGTTTGTTCAGTGATTATCTTTGTCCTATTCCATTTGAAGTCTTTACATTCCAAAGTGTTTCTGAAGGCATCATTTACGCTTATTCAATGCATGACACTCGTTGACTGACAGGTGCCTGTTTTCAAATGCTCAGGTGTGTGTCACCTGCAGACCGAACATTAACATGAACACTTCCACTAATCAGAACAAACTTGAGCTCATAGAAATTTTGACGTATGACTCATTGTCATCTTTTATCGTAAAGCAACCAATGAAATTGTAAAGCACAAAAGAGTTTTTTGAATCTTTATTCCAAGCCATGACATATTGCAGTGTATTATATTCCATAGCTGATGCTTGAACAATGCAACAAGACTGACAAAATCAAACACAATCTGTGTGAGGCTTGCGTTAGGCTACGCTTTGTGTCAAATAAGGAAACAGATATTTTTAAGTCATATTTTTTATGACATTACATTTCATAATTATTTGTTGGGAACACTTTGCAATACGGGTGCACTAATATGTATTAATTCGGTCACGGATTCACTGGGACAAAATAGCAGATTCAAGTGCAGCTTTTATTATTCCAAAAACAAAGATCCAAAAAACAAGACAAAGGGTAAAAACACAAGTTAATCCACAAAGCAAAGCACCAGCTAAAACAGTGAAACAGAAAACAATACTGCCACAAAAACATACACTCACAGAACATGGTATAAAAAGGGGAACTAACATGACTAATGAGACACAGCTGGAGACAATGGCTGCGTCCGAAACCGCCTACTCAATGAGTAGGTACTTACTTAACGAGCGCTAAAAGAGTAGGTACTCTACAGCCACATCTCGTTGAGTATGAATGCGATCCAGGCATCATCCGCCATGATGACTATCATGTGATCTACGACATTATAACAAGCGCAACAGATACGAGCGACAGGTTTAATTGATCTCTCTGTAAATATTTTGGTGCTTATGAAATGTCCTCATTTTGTGGTCTTGTTGAAGAAACAGCTGCCCTTTTATTGTGATTGTAGTATAACCAATACATTTTGGGTTGATTTCAATTTTTATATTTTTAACCCTACTAATATGACCCACAGTTTAATCCTTACATATAGTATTATTTATTACTAAAACCCAAAATCGTTATCTCTTGACTATGTTGTTACTTTATGTGCAACATTTTTCATCCATAAGCAAAACCAGCTTAAATCTCCTGTTTTCCTCTTGCAAACCCATTATATTTGTTTTCTGCTTTTTGTCATTATGATTGTTCATTGTTAAAGATACTAGCATCTTTCCCTGAGCTTGTATGTAATTATAAGTTCTGCAGTAATAATAATAAAAGAACATAAGAGGGAGAGGTGCACTAACACCTCATAGCATCAGTAACTCCACTCCTACCTAGTACAGTTTTCCTCAGCGTTTGCAATATTTGTAATATCTGCACAAAGGAGACGTCGATCAGCTGCTAGAAGATCTCGCCTTTGGAGAAGACTGATAATTTTACACTCGAAACATTTAAGTATTACTACTTAAAAACTAAGATTACCCCAGAATGCATTGCTTGCCCACCCCAACACTTATGAACAATAATAATGATAAATGCTGACCAATAATTAGCAAAATGTAATTTGTTTTGTCATATGCCATAGCTATGCATGACTACACACTAGACAAACGCAGCCAAGGTGAATACATCTAAATTGTCAGTCAAGTAATGAATTAATGCACAAGTTAATGAAACAATTATATTTTATTTACTGAAAACAGGAAACATGAATAAATGAGTAAAA